AGTTACCAATATAAACTTGCAATAAAAAGTTTGTAAGTCGATTAGTTTGATTTTTATGTAAAAAGGATCTTATTCAGGGGGCTTGTTTTGACGTCTTTGTTTGTCTTTATATTGGAATTCACTAATTCTGTGACACATTTTTGATCATTCTAATTATCATGTACATTTAGTTTAAATACCACTATGAAATTTCGTATATTTTTAATACATGATTACTTTATGTCTTTGTTTCATCTATGTCAATAGCTCAGTAGGTAGAGCATTTGCCCCATGATTGGAAGATTGAGGGTTCAAATCCACCGAACGGCTAACCTGAGGTACCACTGAGTAATTTACCCTCCCTACACACATCTCCTCTGGTGCTGAATTGGTGGCTGCCCACTGCTTCCCTGAGTGAACGGGTTAAATGCTGAGAATAATTTCCCAACAGGAGATAAAGTATAAGAAAAAAATACTTCATAGTCCTTTCCTTTAAAACTTTAATAATTCCAAACTGGTGAAACCCTTGTAGATTCATTACTGTTTCTGTTTAAACTCCTGATGGCCACGAGGTTATCTATGAGTCTCCTAGTATTAGAGGTAATGATGGGTTGTTTCGATAAGATGCTAAATTGGATATTTCTGTTTCTGGCAGAAACATTTACTTGTGTTTAAGGTGAATGTTAGATTCAATTCAGTATTCTAATCTTTTTATATAGATGACACACTTTTGCACTCTCTATGCAAAAAATGGATAGAACACCCTTCATTGCCGTGTTATATCAAAACCAAAAAAATAACGCAATATTTTTTTGAATACTTAAAAGAAACACAGGCGTTGTCGTTGCTGATGCTTTATTGCTAGATAGTTGAAACAATATGGAAAAAGAAGCATAGGAAGTGCATTAGAGTTCTGAGTTCAAAAAAATATTTTTTCACATAAAAGTTAAAGACAGAATGCCATGAAGTACAAGCACATAGATATTCAGCATGTCGTCAAATCCATACCGGCTTCTTTCCTAACAACAACACGTGGCTTTAAAATCACTCATTTACTGGCTTCTCATACTTATTCCCAATCTTTCCAAGAAGAACCCCATTTCTGGTGTGGAAAACCTCAGCCAAAGACGGACTCATGGCCGAGGGGATATACTCCTGACACTGGTTCCCACTAAGACTTGGTGCACACTCTACGATGTAGGAAAAGAAGAAGGTCCCATGATTCAGCATGCAGCTGCCGCTCACCTTCCCTGCTCGCAGATCAAATGAACACTCGCCTAACAGATCACTGTTCCAGTAAGTGTCCTCATCATACACAGAAAATTTAAGTTTGTTTTTCATGTTGATGGTGATGGTTCCAAACTCAAATGTTTCTCTCCATCTAGGGTTGTCATCATTACTTATAATATCAGTGCGCTTTTTCTGATCACCATATGTCACCTCCACTGAACCATCTGTCTCAGTCCACTTGTCACCATACAGACCCTTTGCATAAAGTTTGAACACCTTTAAGGTTGCCAGACCTTTCCCAGCAGGACAGCAGTTTGACTTGATGTTCTGGTTACTGTTGCAGACACAAGCACAAGGATCTCTTGCGTTTGATCGGTGCCCAATCTTACAGGTTTCTGAACATTTCTTCAGCACTGCATTTTTCTTAATGTACTGCTCCACTTGTTGCTTCAGTCCCGCCCTGGCAGGATGATTTAATGGCAGTATGGTGTGTAGGGGTTTTAAGTTGTATTGGACCACATCAGGGATACTTTTAAGAGAAATGAGCCAGTTTTTATAGGCCGAGGGGTCAGATTGGCCTGCAAAGAGGATATCACCTCCATCAATATCTCCACCAATGACCTCTGTGCGCCGCTCATTAAATGAACTGCTGAAACTTTGATTAGACCCCAACTTGTTTTTCTTTCTCTGACAGTGGTCAATTGTGGCATTAATACTGGCAGAATTTGCAAAAGAAGCTGAAGCTTCAACTGACAAACAGTCACTAACATCAGTATCTGTTAGTCCATTCATTGTAGCCATGCAGGTCTTGACAGCAGTGGTTGCTTTAATTTCACCTCCAAGAGACACTTGTGTGATGTAATGTGTTCCATAAGTGTCAATCAGATTGTGATATAATGGCGCAGTTTTAGAGGAATAAGGGGGAATATCCAAAGCCGACTTAAATTCTTGACTCAAAGGAGGACTTGTTGCCAGTCTGTAGCTGTGGAACAGAAAAGCATATAAATAAGTTTAACTTAATTGTGAAGATGGCCAGTATTTGTATAGCACTTTACTAGTCCCTAAGGACCCAAAGCTCATGTACATACACACACACAGGTGATGGCAAGCTACATTGTCCAAGCCAGGGCTCGAAACGGCAACCTTCCGATTACAAGGCAAACTCCCAACTGCAGCTTCAGAGTCTGTGCGATGTTGACTTTCAGCACCCAAAGGCATGTCTGCATATGTGAATGAGCTGCGCTTTGTGTTTAAATTTTTGGGGGAATCCGTTTACCTGTTCTCATTTGCTGTTTTAGCTGTTTGGTGGTTGCTGAAATAGTGTTGTGAACGTTAACCTGAGATACTTGCGTCTCTGGCAAAATTCAGGATTTAATAAATTGATATTGCATTATTTAAACTAAAATCTTGAATCGGGAAAATCAATTTTTTAAACGCACTCTTTTCACATTGTACAAAATGTTAATACACAGCTTATAAAATGATATGATATTCCAGTACACTATGGGGGGGGAAGTGTTTAACATCAATGCAGTAAATGCAATAAATACTTCAGTGACACAGAAACCATTTGATTTTGAATCAGGCTTGATGCTAAACTAAAAAATAAATAAATACATTAAAAAATAAATAAATTAAAAATTATCAGCAAATTACTCAAATAAGACAAATATTCCCTGACATACTCACCCATAGTAATGACAGTTGATCGAATGGTGTAAGAAGGTGTAGCGGTCTTCTTTTGACTTTTTCATGGCAAAGGTGGAATCTCTTGAGTGAGAACCTCCAAAGCCAACCCCAACCTTTGCTGAAGGATCTACCGGGACATCAAGGCCAATTGTCCAGTTGTTGGATACAGATGATGTCGAGTCATTGACAAGAGTTTCAACAGAATCATAGACCACACTGGAGACCTTCAAACTGCACTTGGGCAGGGTTCTCCAGTCCACCACAGCAACAGGGACCTTCTGCTTCTCTCCATTCATGTAACGGTTACAGTAATTCAATTCAATTCAATTCAATTTTATTTATATAGCGCCAAATCACAACATAAGTCGCCTCAAGGCGCTTCATAGATACAGAGAAAAAACCCAACAAT